TGAAGAAAAACTTTAATATAAGTTTAACATGACAGCAAATGTACATTTGCTGTCATGTTAAACTTATATTAAAGTTTTTCTTCATTACCCATTTAAGCCGTCTCCAGCCATTATTAGTCTCAAAGTGGGTTCCTCGTCATCGAATTATAGGAAGAAGACTTTCATATAGGTAAGGTTGAATAGGGAGATTTAACTATGTGTAAAAAGTAAGGTAAATGCAACTGAAGAAAAGGTTTAAGGGAATGAAATTAGCGAAAGGGCTGACGGAATTTTGTAATTATTTGAAAGTAGATCTTTCGTTTATACCATAAGAGGACTTGGTATTGAGTTGGAAGATAAGATAGTGTTCAAGGCTTTCTCGTTTTAACTTGTTGGGTGATGTATTTCTCATGACTGAGACTACCATGTCAGAAGTATCATTATGGTCAGGAGAACTGAAGTGTCTATGAACTGTAAGGGCAGTAATGCCTTCTCTTAAAGACCTAAGGTGTTCACAAAAACGATCACAAAGTCTGCAGGCTCTGTTTTTCCAATATATAGTTTGCGATACCTAATACACTGGATGCAGTAAATGACACATTCTGATGTGCAGGTGTAATGTCCCCTGATGTGGAAAGTGTAACTAGGACCAGTTATTGTGGTGTAGTTTGAAATGTATGGATGGGTATTACAATTTTTTCTGTTACAGTGATTAGTTCCAACTATGGGGGAATTGTTTTCCTGTAGCTTCAAGTGCACCAAATAGTCTTTGAGGTTGGGATTATGTCTATAAGAAACTAGGAAAGGTGTAGTAAATATTTCGGCAGAGGTGGGGTCAGTCATCAGTAATTTTAATATTTTTATATGATATTGACTGCTAAGCTGTGGAGTGGATGATATGTTAAAAGCTAGTTATTCTATCATGTTGACTTTTGTCCTTGGGTTAGATGGTACTGGATATGGTATGTACATGGCTGTGGGCTTTTGGATGACATAAGCCAGGTAGTTACATTGTTAGAAAAATCCTGCCATCTCAGTGGTTTTGGAGAAAAGGTCTTGGTCCTCAGAACATAAACGTCTCAGTCTTGTAAACTACCCTTTAGGAATGACAGCCTTGGTTTCATAGGGATGGAAAGAGCAATAGTCTACGTAAGCATGACTATCAGTGTCTTTATAGTGTACAGTCGTTTTGAGAGAGTAGTGTGAAATGAGAATGTTGATGTCCAGAAATGAGGAATTGGTATCAGAGATTTGGTAAGTGTATTTAAGGGCTGGGTGGAGTTGTTGGATAAAGTCGATGAACTTATCTACTTGGACTATGGTACATGTAACAGATAAAGAGGTCGGAGCGGCACTGTCTGAGGAAGTTTCTTAGTTTCAAATAATCCTCTTATTTATCCAGCACGAAATTTGCTACCACATGACTGGTTATTCGCATTACACATAGGTTGAGCCGTAACCTTTAGATATCACCTGAACATTCAATGTAGAACGATGTTGTAAACATCCTTACATAAGGTTGTATTAAGGAATGTTCTCTAGGTGTCACCTACATCGAGAATAACCAAGGTAGCTTGAAACAAGATCAAGTTAATGATTTTCTTGATCATATGTTATGTGAGACCTGCACATATTCAGAACAAAGAATAAGTTCATAATAAATATTATAACACAAAAAGAAGAAAGAAACACATGTTATATTCGGATAACCACGCTAGGTAACTCTCGGATTTACAGATTGATAGAACAATTGTCAGTTGGATTTACTTGGTGCAAACATAATTTAGTTTTTAAAAAATCCAGCACAAAGCTACACAATGGGCTATCTGTGCTCTGCCCACCACAGGTATCGAAACCCGGATTCTAGCGTTGTAAGTCCGCAGTGCCACTGGGAGGCTTTTGATGAGATAGAGTTCTCATCAGTTTCCAGACAATAACACTGACCGACGTCTTTATGTACTCATCTTGTCTGGCTTGCTGCTTGCAAGCTAATAAAGATTAGTTTCCATACCTTGTATTACACTGTATTTGGTCTTCTTTCTCCAATTCAATTAAATTAGAAACTCGGATTAACTCAATACATTTTCTACTGTACCTCCTTTTATTGCAATGCTTGCTACTCTTACTTGTAAGAAGTCAGTTTAACTAAGAATATCACACCCTTTCCACAAAACTTTCATAATCTATAGTGCCAACAAGTTCCTAATCCATAAAAAGAGAAATAACAAATATACTATTAATATTATTAGAAATCACTTTCACTTAGTTCAATGCGCTTTTTAATAATTTCGAAAAGGTCAAAAAGGAGGAATGGGGTGGTTGGGTAGAAAGTTTGTACAATACATATTTGTCAGAAAAGTTGTTGAAGAAACGATAAAATTATTGTGAAAAACGTATTTACTGATTTGTATTATAAAAAACGCTCATTCTATTGCCTGTATACAGTATGCAAGAAATATCAAAGGCTTTAATTCCGATTCGTAAAATCGTGTTAATAGCAAAACAAAACGAATATTACTGAGGGCGCTGTGTGAATATTGCAGGTTAATCAGGGGAATGGTAAGGTAAGGTAAACTTGTTCGATTACAATTTTTTGTTGTTTTTAACCCCTTTGAATTTGCAATATTTATTTTAGTTATTTTTTTTATTAATATTATAGAACAAGAGTTTATTAATCTGGTTTTACAAAGAAAGAACAATATCTGATGGATGTATTCCATCTTAATATTAGTACTAACAGTAATATTAAACTATTACTGTTAGTGTTACTTGTATTAATACTAGATCTAAGGTTTGCGTCCCTTTGTCGCAAAAATAAAATATACCCACTCTAACTTTTGGGTTGTGGATGTGTTATAAGAGTATCGGTCAAATCTTAATACTCGATTAAAATAGCCCAAAAATGTACAGGTGGTGCTGTTGACTAGCTTTCTGTTCTCTAGTGTGTAGTCTGTCACTGGTGTCAGTTTAAAATTAGGAATGTTAGTGCTGATACAGTGATAGTTCTTGTGTAGTTTAGCGTAAATGAAATACCCCAAACAAAACTAAATACTGCCTATGGTAAGTACTACTAGTACTTGTAACTGATATACTAACTTAAATTTTATATCAGTCTTGAGTCTTATTACTACAAATTACAATACTGCATACTACTGTTACTAATCATGAACATTTAATGTTTGAAAGAGATGATAGCTGGTCATACATTAAATCTGAATACCAACTGTACCAGAATTCTGAACAAGTAGCAAGCAGTTTGTCATCTTAGGTGTGTGCAATTTGTAGCATGTTCTTTTAATAGACATTGTTGACTGTTGTTATAGATGTGTTGTTAAAATTTTTATCAGTTTAGCAGTATATAATTGAGTTGCTCCATAATCAATAGCATACAAATGCACAGAAATAGCGTAGCAACTAAATGTTAATGCCTTCTTTCCCTTTTAACATCAGAATATGCATATTTACTTCATTTTCAAAATTCGAAATTTACTAATTTTTGATGACTGAGTGGGGAATTGTAATGAGTATACATAATTTGCATACATTTTCGTTCCCATTTCATTTAGTTGAGCTGTCCTTTAAGTGTGTTTATGTCAACAAACATGATGCTTTATTAGATCTTTTGCAAATTATATGTATAATACAGGGGTGGAAGAAGTATTTTTGGACTGATCATACAACATGGAATAGTGTGCAAAGCATGGCAGTACTAGGGGGGTCTGGGGGCATGCCTTCCAGGAAAATTTTGAAAAATAGGGGTTCTGAGATTGAATTTTGTGCAAATTTTATAATAATTTATTAAAAGTTTTAATTGTTTGCAAGTACTTCTTTATGATTCATAAAAATAGGTGCTCACTGGCACTTGTACTCACCATAGCTAAAAGAAAGCACAAGCATGTATACTTGCAGGTTACACATGTAATTTATTATGCATTAATATACTGATTCATACATACTACTATAAGTATCTATTTACCTAGAAACAATGTTTGAAGTACAAGTTAAAGTTTAAAAAAACCTACAGTTACTGTGACAAAATGTTGGTCTGGCTGATTCCTGGTCTACCGGACCCACACCAGCACACATGTAATAATACTAACATTAATATTATTATTTATTACATGGGAGATGTTGTAAAAGTTAAAAGTACAACAGAGGAAATAGACCCTTTATGATTGGGTGAGATACATCAGTATATAAAGGGTTGTGAACAAACATATTTGAATTATGAAAGTATGAGTGAAATATTACCAATCAACTTGTACATTCTTGCACAGAATCAACTAACTTGTCATATACAGTTCTTTGTATGATATATATGTGACCATTGTCATAAAATGAAGTTAATTTTGTTTCTCTTATGTATTAGGCCAAAAACTCTTGAAGCATTCAATATTGTTGTTACCTTTTGGTCTATTGAAACAATTGGCTCTGTGTTTTCAAAGTAACTGTTGGTTACTGCTCCATGTTACATGTAATTTAATGGCAGCTATTTATATTATACACTGGTTACCACTCCTCATTACATATAATTCTATGGTGTCACTTTATAAAATACACTGGTTACCACTCCGTGCTACATATAATTCTATAATATACTCATTATTCTATTATATACTCATTGCTACTCCGTGTTACATGTAATTCTATGGCAGCTCTTTACATTATACACTTG